TTCACGTCACTTTTGCAACTAGTGCTAAGCAGCAACTTCCTCCTCATTATTCAGCTATGTCTCCACACTGAGGCTTCCTCTAATTAGGATGCTTGTTTGAACTCAGGTTTGAGTCTGATGGAGATAATTGACATGCATTTTGTGACAGTTTGATGTTATTTCAGGTATAGTTGGAGTTAAACATCGAAGGCTGGTGGTTGTGTGCAGCAGATAAGCATACGTCTCACTCACGGCCCATTTGGAGGAGCGATTTCTCAGCAAAGGCATGACATAATGCAAGTGGAGGCGACTAAATGGAGATCAAGTTAGTCAAATGTTCTCTGCTGAGAAACATGGAGGTTGAACAGATGGACAATTAACAGAAGTGAAAGCCTGGGTAGTGCTTACAATACAGGGGTGCACACTGCAAAGAAACATCCTTTTAAGGTTATTTACTTGGATTCAGAACAAATAGCTAGACTGCAGACTGGAGCACTTTTATTTGTGTCAGAAATAGGTTCTAATATAACAAGGTGAGTTTGAGGACTTAATTAAGTTGAAGCCTTTGATTAAATTTCATGAATTTTTACACCTCACTTTCTAATCAATACAGTTTTAAATTAAAAAAAAATTGAGCACGAGACCTCATGTTCCCAGTAGTTGTGTTTTGAGAATGAGCTACAAACGTTCTGCATGTTTGTTCTTATGGTGTTTTGTTCCTTCTCTCTATTGCTGCTGGAACACAGGAATTTCCCCATTGTGGGATCAATAAAGTCCTACCATAAATTACATTCATACATAATCTCATGGTTTTTTTTAAACTATCACTTAAGCCCCTTTTCAGACATGCACTGTAGTCCTGAAATTCTCTAGAGGAGCTGTATGTGAGAACATACAGAGAACATATTTGAGTCAATCGACCCAAACATTAAGCAGACTGGACCCTGCCAGCTCCCTGGTACCAAGTTCATGTAATGTCCGAGTGAGCCGGAGTGGCTCTCTCCTGATGTTTGCTACATGTATGAAAGGGCATCTCTGGACAAAGCCCGATTCTGCAGACAGTCCTGAGTCCATGTGTGAAAACAACTCTGTAGTTGCCACTGGTGGTACAGGAACTTTGGGCGATTTTGCACTGGCTTGTGGCCATGGTTTCAGCCACGTGGTGCAGCTGTACAGCCTTTGTAGTTTTCTTCCACTGAATTTTTGGCAATAGATGATCTTCTGGAGAAACACTTTATGTACAGTAGTAGAAGTCGTGATCATGACACATAACACAATTAAACATACTGTCTGATTAGTACATAATTATAATGGTTTATGGGGTGAAAAAGGAGTAATAAAAAGAGGTGATTCATTCCTTTACTGAGTAAGCAATTGAGGCAGTGAAGCAGAAGTATAATCAGATTTTTCTTAAAAGAAGATTTTAAAAATCTGGTAGCTGTTCATGGAGTTTTCAAGTCTTTTTTTGAATCCAGAGGTATAACCTTTGTGCTCACAAAATGTTTTGACTGATGTTCAAGATTATCTAAAGATCAGGCATACCTTATTTAACTGAGGTGGCTTTTTGAAGTGTATCTCCTCTCCATATGGAAGATTTTTTTGTCCTAAGGGATGTCATCTTCCTGCTGCTATCCTGTTTAGGCCAACTGTGTGCCTGTAGTGTGGCATGTTCTACAGACCTTGGGGAAACGAAAACAGAATCATGCAACCGTGGTCCCTGTGGGATAGCATGCTGCAGAATACACGTGTAAACTGGGTATAGCTTAAGCAGTCCATGATTAGAATGCTACACAAAAAGCCAATAAACATAGGATGAGGTGATCACTGACACATTACTCAAAGGGGAGATGCTTTTGAGGTTACCGGGGCCTTTGTGTTGCCTCAAGAAATGTGACGCAAATACATGCACCTGAGACACTGAAGATAAAATGGTGTAATGATACATTTTGGGTAAAGAAGGTTCATTTCAAATTCAGTATCCTAATGGGATCTGTCTGAGAATATTTATCATTTTTGTAATATTGATTCATACTCATCAGTGTATGCAAATTCAGTTATCAGTGTCACATGTCAAGCTTTTCTGCTGCAGGTTCATCCAAAACTATACGACACTAGCTGAAGTACACAAAGTCTGTGATGAGCTCAGATCTGCAGAATCTTATAAATGAAGGAATAAAGCTAATTTGTCTGGTGCCGTATTTACGATCTCCAGTTTGAGTTCTAAGCTCATGCTCTTTAAAGGCTAGTAACTATTCATGGTGGGAAGAAGTGAAAATTACTTTACTTGTTACTGTTCAGTTTTTGTTGATACTTTTTCATGTGCCAATTTGAGACTGTAGCTACTTTGTTGTTGTGGACTGTAATGTGAAAAGGTGATTCTGTGAAAAATAGCCTTGTCAATGAATGAATGTGAGCTCTTTGTCAGGCAACTTAAAGAAATAAATGTGGATTACATTAATAGTCAAGCAGTCATATTTGGATAGCAGAAGCTTGTGCAGCACTAACAGACCTGTGGCTGTGGACTGATAGCCTTTGATTTGTCATGTCATGGAAATGACCCACAGCTTAATTGATAGGATATAGATTATTAAAAGACATGTTAGGCTTAGAAAATGTCCAAATATGTAATTCCTGCACGGTCATACTTGTTTGATCATACTGAGTGTAGAAAAAGTTTAACATAGATATACGTGTTCCTTGTTCTTCATGATGCTCTCTGTGCTTTAAACGGACCTCTGAGACTATCACAGTGCAGGTGCATTTATATGGAGACTTGATTCCACACAGGTGGATTCTATTTATCATCATTAGTCATTTAGGTCAACATTGGATCATTCAGAGATCCTCACTGAACTTCTGGAGAGAGTTTGCTGCACTGAAAGTAAAGGGGCTGAATAATTTTGCACGCCCAATTTTTCAGTTTTTTATTTGTTAAAAAAGTTTGAAATATCCAATAAATTTCGTTCCACTTCTTGATTGTGTCCCACTTGTTGTTGATTCTTCACAAAAAATTACAGTTTTATATCTTTATGTTTGAAGCCTGAAATGTGGCAAAAGGTCGCAAAGTTCAAGGGGGCCGAATACTTTCGCAAGGCACTGTATAAAGGTGCTTTTATTAAACTGTATATTAATATTTTGTCAGCATTATATTTGAACCAGCCTTATTGAAGTTAGGTCTGCATTACAGTACTTGCAGAATCTGTATCATATATTTATCTTAAATATTATTAGAACTTTGCCAAATGGCAAAACGTGCAGAATATGTAGCTATGTAGCAGCTTACTGGAAGGTAAGCCACTGACACAATCTGGTGGGCTTACATTTATAATGTCACCAAGCAGTACTGAAGACTATTGTGTGAACTGATAGAAATATTTTTTATAAATCTGTTGAGTATTAACACATTTGTATTACTGTGTTGGTATTTAAGCAAATGCACACATCATAAAATATACACTATTTTAAATAAACTTTTTATAAATAACTGTCAGGTATAGGGGTGCCCCTTTCCTTGCCTTGAGCCCCTGTCCCCCAAAATGTCTATAGACAGCCCTGCTGCTGTGGGAAAAACCTCCAGTCTAGATGGGTTGGAGAAAAAATAAAGTCAGATTTGGGCCACTACAACCTGCAAGTGTATTTTTCAGAATGTCAAACTATTATGTTAAATAGGCATGCTTTGACATTTTGTAGCCTGTCAGTTGTTCTTCTTGCAAATGGTGAAAACACTCCTGTTAACTTTCGTAAAATGCTAAATAAAACGACACAGTCAATAACTGGTGTAAATGACTTTTTAACAAAAAAGTCCAAAGAGAGTGTGTCATGTTATTTCTGTAGCCTTTACGTTGAGCAGGAACTTAACATCAGTCTACCACCAACCGGGGGGTGGGGGGGCTTAATATGAGATGAATATTCAGCCTTCTCACTCTACACGGGACTTGGCTTCTGGAGTCACGGCTCCCTCTACAGTTTGCACTGTGGAAATTTTCCATTCAGTCCAGGAAAACAATCGCACTGACTGGGTTGGAAGTCGGGAGGACACAACGGAGAGGCGTCCGGAGATGACACACATACACAGCCTTACTTGTGAGATGTGTCTCAAACGGCAGCAGATAACCGACATAAACATCTGGACAGATACAGCAGGGCGACACCTAGATCGTCCATCATTCTGGGCAGCTGGTTTACAGTTTGATTCGGACAATCGGAAAACATGTCTCATTCTTTGAATACTTGAAGAGTGACGACAACTTTCCTCTTTGCGGACTTCACCATACTAATCGCGGAAGATAAAGCGTGGAACAAAACCAGGAGAGATAAAACAATGCACAGAGATCCATTTCCCGATCAGGATTTGCAAATTTAAGCACCAGGCAATTTGGAATCTCTGCAGCGGGGATGCCGAGCTATGTTATCTGCGGAGATGCGTTGCTTGCTGAGGTTCATGTTCACGGATGTTGCAGCTCGGTGGGGCTGCACCCGGAGCGTTTGGGTGGCAGAGACCGGACCGGACACAGACTGGGGTTGAATGATGTTTGTCCGAGATGAAATGTTCTGGGGAGATCAGTATGAGTTACTGTTGTAAGCCGGGGCTGGGGTGGGAGATGCCACTCCTCCTCAAGAGCACAGTTCTTACTATGAGGACAGACGAAATCATACTGGTATAGGACAATGATTTTGTAAATTTTGGATTTAAATAAGAAAAAAAAAACTAAGACCTTTCCTCTTGGACATTTATATATTTAATGCAGTGGATTTTGTTGCCTTTGCAAACTGTTGCAAGTGGATATGGATAGTTTTTATTCTTGTACTAAAGTTTTTTTCCTTCTTCTTAATGCATCAGACTTTAAACATGCATCATACGAGCTTATGAAATATCACTGCGGACAAATATATTCTACTTGGACTTCTGCTCTGAAATCACAGCTGAAGTTATGGGCCGTTACAGCAACATTTTAAAGGAAGAAAGAATCAGTGGCTTAATTTTAAAATCCACTAAAATGCATTCACAAATGCCTGGCAGCATGGCATCTAACTGGGTGGTTTATTTATTCTCAGGGGTCTTCAATGCCACAGACAGAGACATTTTTACAGATGACTTGCTGCAGGTCAGGCTCACACAAAACAGAACGGCTGAGCAGTGGAAACTCCGCTCTGCTGATTTCCATCCAAACCTATATTTTAACCAAGCGGATGTGTTGCACTTGAGGCAAAGGTCCTCCACCACCCACAGTCATATATTTAAAGTCATCCGGGGGGCTGTGCTTACCATGTTGTCTTATGTCCCCTTTTACCTGCCCCCTGTGAAACATGAAGAGTTTACAAGCAAGTGGAATGAGATTTATGGGAACAACCTGCCTCCCCTGGCGCTCTACTGCCTGTTGTGCCCAGAGGACTCTGCTGCCCTGCAGTTTCTTATTAAGTTTATGGATAGGATGGCTGACTACCCGGACTGGAAGGTGACTAGTGCCCCGAATGATGAGGTGCCCATGGCACATTCTCTCACTGGGTTTGCTACTGCTTATGACTTTATTTACCCTCACCTGGATGGTCACAGAAGAGAGGTTTACCTCAAGAAAATCCGCTCTGAGACAGAAGCACTGTATGAGCTCTCTAAGTACAGGGGGTGGGGGAAACAATATCTCCAGAATCATCAAACTACTAACATATTAGCCATCCTGACTGGTGCAATGGTGGTTGGTTCACATGATGACCCAGAGTCGATGATATGGAAACAAGTGGCAGTGAACTACATGGAGAAAACTATGTTTCTCCTAAATCATATTGTCGATGGGTCTCTGGATGAGGGAGTAGCCTATGGGAGCTACACAGCCAAGTCCATCACACAGTATGTCTTCTTAGCTCAGCGCCATTTCAACATTGACAGCATGCAGAACAACTGGCTACGGGAACACTTCTGGTTTTATTATGGCACTCTGTTGCCGGGCTTTCAAAGAACAGTTGGCATCGCAGACTCAAACTACAACTGGTTTTATGGGCCGGAGAGTCAGCTTGTGTTCCTTGACACATTCATCATGAAGAATGGAACGGGTAACTGGCTAGCTCAACAGATTAGAAAGCACAGACCCAAGGATGGTCCCATGGGGCAGTCGTCTGCCCAGCGTTGGGCTACGCTTCACACAGAGTATATCTGGTACAACCCCCACCTCACACCGCAACCTCCCCATGACTTTGGCAAAGCGAGGATGCATATTTTCTCAAACTGGGGTGTGGTTACCTATGGAGCAGGGCTGCCGAACGGCCAGGGTAATACTTTTGTCTCCTTTAAGTCCGGCAGGCTGGGTGGCCGTGCAGTCTATGACATTGTCCATGACAAGCCGTACTCGTGGGTGGATGGATGGAGCAGCTTTAACCCAGGTCACGAGCACCCAGATCAGAACTCCTTTACATTTGCTCCTAATGGACAAGTTTTTGTGTCTGAAGCACTTTATGGCCCAAAGTACAGCTATCTCAACAATGTTTTGGTGTTCAGCCCCTCTCCTACCAGCCAGTGTAACAGTCCGTGGGAGGGTCAGTTGGGGGAGTGTGCTAAGTGGCTGCGTTGGACTGATGAAGGGGTGGGCGATGCCAGAGGGGAGGTGATTGCTGCTTCCTCACATACAGACACCATGTTTGTGAGTGGTGAAGCTGTGTCTGCTTACTCCCCTGCTATGAGATTAAAGAGTGTGTTCAGAGCCTTAGTTCTGCTCAACTCACAGACTTTGCTGGTGCTTGACCACGTGGAGAAGCGGGGTGATTCACCTGTGAAGTCGCTCAGTGCTTTTTTCCATAATCTCGACATTGACTTTAAATATGTTCCTTTTAGATTCATGGACAGATATAATGGCGCGATGATGGATGTGTGGGATGCTCATTATAAAATGTTCTGGTTTGACAGCCAGGGTCACAGTCCTGATACCAGGATACAAGAGGCAGAGCAGGCAGCTGAGTTTAAAAAGAGGTGGACTCAGTATGTCAATGTCACTTTCCCAGTGACAGGCACAGTCAGCAGAGTAGCATATGTGTTACATGGGCCATATGTCAAAGTGTCCAACTGTAGATTCGTGGATAACAGCAAAAATGGAGTGAGGCTTTCTTTAATTATAAATGACACAGAGAAGTTGGTGTCTATAGCCACGAACTATAATGACATAGGAGCGAGGGCGACTTATTTAGGATTTGGAGGTCACTGTAAAGTTGAGGATAAATTTCAAATCACTCGATATGGCCTCGGGACTCAGCTCACCCCCAAACAAGTCAGCAGTGATAATCAGCTGTTTGACTTTGGATTTAGAGTCAGTGTAATTGCAGGGGTTGTTCTCTGTGTGGCCATAGGATTTCTGACCATGCAGAGAAAGTTTTATGTTTGCTTCAACAGGCTGATGCGTTACACCCTCCTATCTGTGCTCATTCTCTGGATAGCTGAGCTGCTGTTTGTGTCTAACAGCTGCGATCAGCTACTCTGTGGGGTAAAATGGAAAGGTGCGGGTGCCAAAAGTGAAATAAACAAACAAATCAGAATTTACGAGCAGCATCGGCTCCCCCTTCCAACTGTTGTCATAACAACGCTGCCTGGATCGGGATCAGAAATACTCAAGCACCTTTTCTACAACAGCTCGGACTTTGTTTACATAAGGGTTCCCACTGAGCATGTGGACATTCCTGAGACTGAGTTTGAGTTTGATTCATTGGTCGACGCCTGCGAGTGGTCAAGGCTAGACGCCTTGCACGGACGGTTTAAGATTATTCAGGGATGGCTGCATTCGCTTGTTCATAACACCAAGTTGCATTTGCAAAATATTCAGCTGGTAGAGAGCAGTGGGATCAAACAAGCCCAGAGCGTCGGCCCCTCCAGGGATAGAAAGAAAAGATCTAGGAGGAGAGAACCGGCGTCTGAGCTGAAAGGCAAACTGAGGGCCAGTCTGGACAGAGATGCAGAGTACGTCAGGGAGATGAGACGCCACGTTGCGGAGTATCCTAATGCCCGCGTGGTCCTCAACATGCGGAGTGGGAGCTGGACGCTCAAATTGGCTTTCATTCAGGAGGTGGTGGGGCCTTCCTTGAGGACAATCTACATGTTAAGAGACCCACGAGCATGGATTTATCTCATGGTTTATAACAGCAAACCCAGCCTTTACTCCCTTAAGAACATCCCGCAGCACCTTTCCTTGATATTCAAGGAGGATGCGTGCCCAAGTGTGGCACCAGAGTTTAAAACAATCCAGAGGCTGCTATCCCTTTCAGAGAGAAACCCAGTCCTGATACTGGCTCATCTGTGGCTGGCTCACACCACAGCGGTGCTGAGGATCAGTGAGAACCTCCCCCAGGAGTCTTACCTCCAAGTGAGGTTTGAGGACGTGGTCAACTTTCCACAGGAAACCGCAGAGAGCATACACACATTTCTCGGGGTGCCTGTCTCAACTGCAGCCCTCAACCAACTTATATTCACCACCTCCACAAGCCTGTACAATCTAATGTATGAGGGAGACATTTCACCAAACAATATTATCATGTGGAAACAAAATATGCCTCGAAAAGACATCAGACTAATAGAGGATGTATGTGGCAGTGTGATGAAGAGGTTGGGTTACACCGGGTTTGCCAGTTAACTTACCGCTGCTGGTCAGCTGATGTTGAGCTTTCTTGTTTACTTTAGCTGCCATCGAGTTCTGTAAAGTTGTTCTGTTGCACTGACCTGAAATTTTGAAACAAGATGTTACAAGTTGAGAAAAACTGGATTGCATTCCTGTCTCTCTCAAGTTTTTTTTTTTCCTTTGGTTAGTTGTATGTGTTTGGGTGTAAGTGTTGCACTGACTAAAGCAGCAGATGTTTTTGAGGGAGTAATATTTTACATAAGAATAGGTGAAATGGGAGCTTGGGTATTCTTTTCCCCCAGCTGCCCTTCACACTTACTTGTAGCATTCTTGTAGTTTCACTCTTGAGTGAAACTTTAGACCTTTACTATCTTACAAGCATATGATGCCCACCAAATTTAAATTTTATCTTCTTGCTCCATCCTAAAACACCTCAGTTTGTCTGTGAAGATAATTTACTGTGTTTTCATCGCTGATCTGTGATGTCAGAAAGGTATTTGTGCAAAATCTGTAATTGCTGGAATTATTTTCAGGAAGATCAAGAGATATGTGCTGGTTTAGAACAGATGCATTATGAAGCTCATAAAAAAATAAGACTCATATTTATGGACAGTCTCAGTTTAGGTTGTAGCTTTGGGAGAATAATCTGCCCGTCATAAATTTTAATATCCAAACCCTGAGTGCTGTTTCCCTTTAAAACTGTAAAAATGCTGCAATGTATAGACTCAAAGCAAAGCAGAGAACAAGAAGATGACAGGGGTACTTTATTACTATGATACAGTCATATAAATATTATGGATAATATTTTCATTATACTGGTAGAGTGGTTTTATTTGAAGCTCAAAGATGTCATGATGGTTTGGTGGCTTATTGTGTGTCTGCACAGAAAGCGTTTCAGTCACATTTTACAGTCATCTGCCTCGTGTGTCTGATGGAACAGATGTGCTTCTAGTTTAATCAATCCAGCTATCTGCACGGGCCACATAATGGCTCACACCGTATACCTGCAAAGAAGGCTCGACTTGTATTTTTATGCTTCAGGTCTCTTTTATCAAGTGTGTTCTTTGTAACCGCAGCGATTGTGTGTTGGGCTGGGTGACCTACAGCTCAACACTGCACCTGAACACCTTCTGTGTGGACACAGGTGGAGAACTGTATGCCTGCTGCTCTGCTAACATGCTGCTCACACTGCTGTGGTGACATGGTGTTAGTGCTTTCACAAGGACTCTTCTGATTATATGTGGGATTCAGTGTATTTCCTAAAGCTAACTTTTGGCACTCGATTAGCTTGGAAAACCTCTGAAGATATATGAAACTCTGATGTCTAGAAGAAAGAAAGTATTTATGGGTTCCAAAGATTTATATCCCAAAGGATCGGGGATGAATATGATTATTTTAACTCCCTTTAGCATTTACTGAATTAGATCAGAGGGAATTGCTTAATAGGGATCAAACTGAAAAAGAAAACTGTCAGCCTTTATACATTTCTAGTCAAAGCAATTTCCAAAGCATCCCCCACAGTTACTTATATTAATCTGCAAATAATGCCATAACTGAGGCTGACCCTGCATTTTATGGCTACACTATCTTCTCTGTAAAGGCCTGGAGGAAGTGCACACTTCATTTGATTCCCTGTCATGGTAAATCAGATATCCAGTGATCTTTTTTGGCCATTGTCTTGAAAGTGATCAGCAAGCATTGGACTGAACGGGGATGGGGGGAAAGCAAGAGACCATGTCTACTCTGTGATGTTATGGTCTTTGGCCTGGGCACAAATGTATGTTCCTCAATAACCTCTGATGCTGTCTTGCTTAAACATCACTGTAATGTAAATGGATCACATGTAACGTGCCACAATTACAGACTCTCCATTGCATCTGTAAACATACTGTTCCCATTTTGGAAATCTCTCAGCTAGAAACAGTCCTGCTTGTTTTCTCCTTCTTTATGAACAATGAAACCCTTGACTGCCTGGAAAACCTGTTTGATGTTTGTGGTCTTTGAATGTGTAGACTTGGCAGACATGCTTTCACTTTAGTGTTGCAATCCTGTTACCAACTCTGTTTTGTATTTGCTCGTGGGGATATGGTTCCTTGCTTCTGTGGCCTTGAATTACAATAATTTCTTTATAATGGTTTTCTGTGGGCTCTGGAGCAGGAGGCGGACATAATGTAAAAAATAAATAGATAAATAAATTTGAAACATTTATTGGCAACCAGTTTTTGTTGTAGTGAATTAACTTGAACTATGATTTTAGTATGTACCATGTGATTGTGTTGCATTATGTAACATCAGTCCTTATTGTTATTACACTCATGTTAAACCATTTGTTATCAGTGCTGGAAGAAGTACTCGGATCATTTCCTTAAGTAAAAGTACAAAAGCTTTACCATCAAAACATACTTAAAATTTTCAAAGTTATGTGGCACATTTAACGTTAATTTTTATCATATTATAATTATTGATGTTTTACTGTGTACGTCACATTTAATGTTGCAGCAGGTAAAACTGGAACTACTTTTAACTAGTTTATGTGGTTGTGATCTGAATTACTGCTGGTTGGCAAGTTTCCACTGGAAAGCAATAAAATCTCATGATTATACTGTATTTTTATTAATCTGGTTCTGAAAAGCATCTAGTAATAAAGTTATAAAATAAATGTAGTGGTGTAAAAAGTACAATATTTGCCTCTAAATTGTAGTGAAGTCAAAGTACCAAATGGCATAAAATGAAAATAATCAAGTACAGATATCTCAATTATACTTAAGTTCAGTACTTGAGTAAATGTACTTGGTTACTTTTCACCACTGCCTATTATCTGCATAGACTTCAGTTTGTACATGCTCTTTCACTATGGTTATGCTAACTCACAAGTGTCTACTTCTGCGGTTATGTAGCAGCAAAATCTGCATTTTATTAGTCATGGATGACAGAGGCCTAATTGCTCATATGAGTGACGTGCGTGCACACAGGAGCCAACAATTAAAAACATGTCAGAAAATTCGTATGTCATGCTCCAGCTGAGCTGGGAACTTAATAGGAGCAGGCTTTGAAAGAGCACATGCTGCATCTCATGTCTCAGAATGGTCTCAGTGAATCAGTGCGCTCATTACTCATTTGTTCTTGATTCCTTCTGCAACACTCTGGTGTTTGGCAGGGGGCCTCTCTGCCTAATCCTGCCATGCAGAGGCACATTATTCACTGAAAAATACCTCAGGCAAATGCCATGGAAGAAGGGCTTCTACAAATGCGGACTTGCACACGCGGGCTGTTAAGTGGCTTATTTTGATTCATTTTGGATCTGGGAGTGATTGGAACTGCTGGCGCACAAATAATCTTAGCATCAAAATTCAGCCCGTCCTTTAAATTATTCTGATTTTATGGACAAGTGTGTTAGAAGCTAATCACCTCAGCTCCATGAAATGGTTTTCTTTCTCTTTTGGCTGGGACAAGTTATTTGATTAATTAATTTTGGGGTTATCATATTTTAAGGGTTGTCTTTCTTCATTCAGCAGCAGTGGTGGAAAGTAGCAAAGTGTCTATGAGTTGTTGAGTCTTAACCAAATAGTGATTTTCATTCTAAAATCAAAAAAAGAAAAGTACAATTTTGTGTTGCACAACTGTACTTTTCCTTCTTTCTTTTTCCCTTTAATCATCTCATGACTCCCAAAACCTTTTAATGAACTACTGGAGTGTGTTTCCATAGGTTTTACTTCCCATCTGCTGCACAGAAAGACAAATAAGCTTTATGAAAACGTTTTGATGTCTGATCAGAAGAAGCAGATTTACAGAACTAATTCAAGATCATGAATTACTTCTGATGCTTGACAACAGTACATAATCATCGCATGGAATAAGGTTTTACAGAAAAAATGATGAAAAGCTGCATTATAATCTAATTCCATGCAGCGGCTTGGGTAAGTGATCAAGTAGCTTTCTCAGACTATTATGTACATGGAGGTTATCCAGATAGAAAAGGGGACTCAATTTCAGCTGAGTAGTCATACCCTTCTCTGTTCCACCTTTATCTTGCTCTGCTGGTGAGTCTGAGTCCCAGGAGAGCTTCTCCCTCTCTGGCAGCCATTGCTCTTGCCACTGCTTATTAATTAACCTTTGCTGCAGCCTCCATCAGTCAGAGATCAGCTTCATATGTTGGAGTGGAGTAATTATTGATGTTATATAAGTCTGTTGTGCTAGTAGTCTGCTAATGGAGACTTTATTTTTTCTTAAAACACTTAAATAAAAATTTGATGTGCATGACTTGATGTGAATGTGTCCTCCGGATGACAGAGCAGAGGTTTAGGACATTTTCAGACTTTACTGATGCAGTGTAAGCAGCTGGGAGTGACACTCTCCCATGTTCAGTCATTTTCACTGTGGTACACAATGCCTGTGAGGTCCCCAGATCCCACTGTTCACATTTACCCGTTGACGGCACTGCTGTGTTTGGATATGGGGAAGTGCAGATCCCATAAATGACTATTAATAAGAGTTGACATGTGAGGAAATATGGTGCATTGTCAATTTGCAGCTGGTGGCATGTCATTTCTGTCGTGAAAATGGGATCTTCCGTGCCAATAAAGCACAGCGACGACTGCTAATGAAGCCCAGACTGGTCTTTTAGCACAGGGAAAGCAGACCAGATGAAGCATTTTTAGTTTTACTTCAGGCAAATCTTTATACTGAGGCAGGCTCACAGTTTTATATAGCAGCACTCCGTAAGGCATTACGCAGTCCTTACTGCCAATTGCTTTTTTTAGTTTGACAGAATATGTGATTACCTGCTGAATTTGTCAAAATGAGATACTTCTACATTAACTGCAGAGCAGGACAATTAATAATATATGTTCTCTAGCAGTTTCTGTATAAAATTTTAGCATTTCAAGGTCTTCTGTGCTTTCAATTATATCGCCTTCCATTTGTTTACTGTGCAAACATAAATTTTAGTGTCATTTACTCGATTTCCAAAAAAGATTAGTTGCTTTCTTTCTGTTCATCTGTCTGAAAGTCAAATGAAAGTCTGTGGAAATTGAATTTTCTCTGCTTAGCAATTATGACATGACATTAAGACTTTGCTTTGAGAAGTTTCTGACTTTCCTACTTTGAAAGTGAGAGCGTTCAGTATAAACCAGTATCCTGTCAGCTTAACCTGTTTCTCTTGACTCTGTAGTTAATCCTCTCATTTGTTCTGTACATCATGGACAGTTTGCAGGGCAGATGGAGCTCTCTGACTGCTGAAAACCGAGCCACTGTACAGTGGTATCACTTTGTGCATGGCTCCTCTGTTTCTCCTGTTTCAGCCGCTGTGTTTGCTAACAGTACAAAATGAGCAGACTGGTGTGTAAGCTGGAAAAAGGGATGAAAGGAACAAAGGACACAAAAACATCCAAACGATTTAGCTGTTAATGTGAGTTTAGCAATTCTGTCATGGAAAGGGTTTGCCACTTGTGATTTTGGCTATTAAAGAAAAGAGGTGGCCATGCTACAGTGTTTGAGGCTTGTTGTTATTCTGAGGTGTAAGATTGAATCCAGCTGGCTGGCCGGCAGACAGACGAGGGAGAGGCCCTTTTCCAGGATGACACACTCAGTAGTCCTTCATTACCGGGACCCAGAAACCATAACCCTGCTGTCAAAGTACCGCTGCAGCCACTGCTCTGCTAAACCATGTCGCGGCAGGGCATGTCTGCTGTGGGGATCCTTTTCATGTTTTATATTATACAGTAGAACTGATAGACGACATAGAAAGAAGGAGAGGTTAATATGACTCTGAGTTTATGTGTGTGTGGTGGGGGTGGGGGGTCCCATTCGGCCTAATTACATCAAGTATGAGTCATTGATTTCTAATTAGTCCAATTTATGTCTTGAGGAGAAGTAACAGCCCCTATGACATTGTTCACAGTGTGCCTTGGAAATTACAGTAGGGCAACAGCTTGGTGTAAAGTCCTTAAAATGAAAAAGCTAATGCAGGATTTCTGCTCCCTGTTCTTGCTTACATATTCTCATCTCATAGGCTTTTGTTAGCAGAAATGGAAAGCCACCTCCAACAAAAAAGAACTGACAGGAGACCCGACTGGGTGAGGCTTTCCAGTTTCGTGAGCTACAGAACAAACCAATCATTACATAGATTTTATACCATCCACTTCCCATAACTGTCTCACCCAGTGTGGCTATCTGTGCCTCTGGAATCGGTCCAAGAATGCAAGCTTAAAATTAGTTTCTCTTTCTTTTTCCCTTGTGGTGACTTTCCATTATTTTCTTCTAAAAATAAACTTTCCCTTACATGTTCATGAAATCACATTATTTGCTCTGTATAGCCTCCAACAACAGTGTGTTATTTTTAAAAGAGACATCTTGACACTGACAGGCAGCAGGAGACGTGGGACATTCGTCACTCTTCTCTTATCCCCTGTGATTTTTAGCTGCAGAGGAAGCCAGATGGTCAGATTCTCTGCTCATATGTTTGTGCTCCTGAGAGACTGCCATTCTTGGCCTGCTCGACAAATAATATAAGATGATAAGAATTGTACTAGGACAAGACAACATTACTCTGCAGAACAGTTGAGGAGGGAATTTAATTCCTTTGCACAATAATTCATAGAAAAATCCATACAGTACAAAGAATCTAATGTAAGAAAAAAGCATCAGAGCTTTGGCTTCATTTCAGTCAGCATAGGCGCTTATCAGTGCATCTTGTGCAGGAGACTGGACACTGTCCTCTGCTACCATGGCCAGATTAACTGGCTTTAGGGCCCTGGGCATAAAAGAGCTGTGGGGGCCCCATTACCCCCTAACAAAATCAATCTACACTGATGGGTTATTTCATTAACAAATTAATATACAGTACATATAAAATTTAGACAAATCCTCTGCACACAGGAGACAGTGTATTACATTTATACAAGCAGTCACAGCAGTTTGTTTGGAATAAATGGTAGGCATGGGTAGTCAGCATGAGCAGCGAATCGCTTATGGGGAGGCAAGTGTGCTGTAAAGGAAAATCACTGCCTCCAAGCCAAAACAGTGCAGCTGTCATTGCCTTTCCAAGGTAAAGCACTCCATGATGAGGGTAAAGGGACTAAAAGATGCAGCTGTTGTTCATGGCTTTTAAAGTAGCCAACAGGTAACACAGTCTGCTGTCCATCCAGTAACTTTAGATTGAAGGCAACACTCTTACTGTATGTCATGGCAGCAGACAACTTAAATGGAAAATAGCTGCACAAGTAATGTAATATGATTATCACTAGTGTATCAGTAAAAACAGAGAAGAACAGGATCTAAATGCTAATGTGTTGCACAACACAACACCTGATTTGGAGACTGGACACCCCAAAACCTTTCATATTACACTGTAGTAGCTAGGAAGTTTAGTTGGAGCCGATTCTCGACAGATGCTCTTGTGACTCCTTGGGTGTTGTCCTAAATTAGGACTGCAATTTAACTTTAAAAATTATCAAACCACCTTTGTCACAGCAAAGCTAGTTTTAATAATTCATTACTCCTGACAAACCTCCTCTGGTCTCTTGAATTCCTGCAGTAGATTTGAAATCACCTGAGATTTTCGGTGACTGA